AGAAATAGAAAGATAAATAAAGGGTGGTAGCTGCCTTTAAGGACGTTACAACCTAGTGGGAGAAACTTGTATGTAAAAGGCTGATTATCATATAAAGTAAAGTGAAATAAGCATTAACTAGAGACAAGCTCATTTGAGGTGACACAGACAATGGAGAAGTGAATTTGAACTGAAAGGGAATCAGAAGCTCCTTTGCAAAGGAGGTGGCATTTGAGAAGTTATGAAGAATAATGATCATTTTAGATGGGCAGTAGGGAAGAAAAGGTATTTCACTGCTGGAATAGAATTAGCACAGGTACGTAGGCTAAATTCAAGAGCTGTTTTATTTTGTTTTTCTGGTTCGTTTTAATCTAGCACTGAAAAGCTCTATGGTAGGCTCTAGGAGAGATGCAAAGAGAAATGATACAACTTTTCTTTTCTCCTATAAGTTACTTTCTATTTTGAAAGAAAAGTCATTTCTCTATAAGTCTATCTGAAGAGTTCATCAATAGCATATAGCTGCCTAGAACAATATAACTGAGTGGCAAGTCCTTTAAAATCTATAGCACATGACACCAGGAAAAATACAATTTCCAAAGGGAGGAAAGAAAAGTTTCTAGAAGATATGGAGGTATGAGCTGTTTCTTGAAAGATGGATAAAATCTAATGTAATAAATAAGGGGTAAAGATATTCAAAATGACAGGTACACAATGGACATAATCTCAAGGCAGAAATGATCCTGTCATGTCCATGTGATTGTGAAAGCATTAACTTAGATGGAGAAGAAGGTGCATTTTGGCCCACTCTAGAAAGAAAAAATAAGAAATTCATGTTCAGGTGATTTCAAATGCTTACCAAGTTCAGACAGGTAAATTAAGTGAGTGAAGCAGACTGGCCATATAAAGAGAAGGAAGAAAGGAGACTACGGCCCAGGATCTATCAAAAGAAACATACCACTAAGCTCCAGCCATTCCCATAGTAAACTCTGCCCTAGTGTCACCAGACCTTCCCATTTGTTATGATATGCCATTAATCTGGAGCTATTTCTATGCAAGTAAAATTAGAAACTAATTCTTATGACAAAACATAAAATTCTGTTGGTCAAAATTCTACTGGACACATAAAATGTCTTGGAGTCATTCTGAGTCACACCTAGTATGCGGACCACTAATTTCCAACTTCCGCTGGACTGTAGAGGGCAAAAGCTGCTGAAACTAAAGCTTCTGTATTTTATTCTACAGCCATTTAAGGTGATAGAATGGAGATGCAACATCAGGAAAGTAGCATGTTTCAATTAGGCTACAAAAATGCAGGATATTTATATATGAAAAATGTTAAATGAAAGGGAATTGACATGAGTTACTGACAGCTATTAAAGTTTTTAAAATTATTTTTAGATGTAAAATTGGGGGGGTAGGTAATTAGGTTTATTTATGTTATTAATGGGGATTGAACCCAGGACCTCATGCATGCTAGGCATGCACTCTACCACTAAGCTATCCCCTCTCCCCTAAAATGGTTTTTAGATGAAATTCATCTTAAAAGTCTATCTATTGCTTAAACTGGTCACGAGAAAAAATTACAACAAAATACTGGGAATCAAACTCTTTTTAACTGTCTTATTTGTCTTTAAGCAGAAAAAAATGCAGCTGTATGACTCTCCTCCATTCTAATCGGGAGAAGATTCATGTTTGGGCCTAAAGGAGCACCTAAAGAATGACCTTTTATTTGCCATCACTACCAGTTGCCAGCGGTAGATGCCAACCCGATGGCTTGGTCAGGTTCATTTACGTGCCTGTTCTGTTTTGGGGGTTTGCAATAGATGCTCTGGGTCCTGCTAATGTCTGAATTGATAGAGCTCAAACATCATTCACAAAAAATACTAGGTTAGTCCACTCTTGGTTTAAGTTTTTCCCCAACCTAGTGTGAAAGAACTAAAATTGATACTGAAAATATAACTTCTAAGCCTTCACATTGCAATCCAAAAGGTCTGTTATTTTACTAAAAAAGAGAACATTTTCTCTACCCTATCAGGAATTCCTGACAGGTGGAGGGGCTTAGTAACAGGGAAGAATTGGGTGGAATAAAAAATTTCACTTGGAGATTACCATATTACGCCTCGGTCTGAATGAAATGCAGCATCCCAGATGTTGCCTACATTTCACTGAAAACCAATTGCTAGAGTTTATGAACAATGCAAATTCCTGAAATGTAACACGGCAACCCTGCTTTTTAATGCTGAGAAAACACTTAGAAGATCAAGTCTTGAAAATGTGTTAATGAGCCACAATGATTAAAATCAAAGGTGCAATGTTTGAAAAACATTCTTTGTGATTTAGATGAGCATGGCTGAGGTTTCACCACTGATGATTGTACTTTAAAGGCAAATTTTACGAAGATAAGAAAGCCTCAGTAACACAAACAATTCACAATAGCTCATTATTTTCAGGAAGCAGGGTTAAAACCTGAGAACTGCATAAAAGGAAAAAAAAGGAAAATAGGCCACATTTACAGACCATTCACTTAGTAAAGTATGAACTATTAAGTCTTCATAACGTAAAACATGACATTTCAAATTACTTAATTGATGATTATTTATAAATAATAAGTCCAAGTTAGGAGCAGATGTGGACAAAGACGAACATCTTCTGTTACTTAAAAGTGCAGGATAAAATAGTTGGAAGTATTTTTCATAGACAATATCTCTCTGGGAGAGAAAATGCTCACATATTTCAGTTTTGGTTAAGATCAAACTGATCTAATTAGCATTTTCATCTAATTTATTGCCCTGAATTCCCTTTAGTGAGGCACACTTTTGATAAATTTCAAGGAAAGCTGTTTGGAGAAAAGTTTGAAATTAGACAAATAAATGAAAAATGAGAAGCTTTTTCCAAAGACAAGCCACAAAATTATCTAAAAAACTAAAATGACAAAATTGGAAAGTCATAAACTACATTGTTATATTAGTAAAAAAAAAATAGACTTATAACCCAGGATTATGCTATATTTAGGGCACAGGACATAATCACCTGGAACATTTCAATTAAAGTTACATAGACTCAGTTGGAAGAAAAAAGGATTTCTCTCTTCTGATTGAATGATAATGTAGCTATTTTGGTTAGTTATGTAAGGTCATTATAAATCACATAGATATTGGCAAATTGTAATTAAATATGTAAATAACTTTGCTTCATTTTTATTTTTATATTTCAGATGATCAGAATTGATTGTCAACTGAGTGTTCCCACAACACATTTCACATTCTGGACACTTCAGAATTTCACTTATATTTCTTTGCATATGGCAGATATAGGCTCTATACTATGGAGAATAAAACTGTAAACTTAGTTCCTCATACAGACATTATGACTCTAAGAGTGTGTTCACAAGACATTACTAATATGATTACAAAACTGAGACACAGGCAAGATGAAGGAACAACTTTGGTAGACTTAACCTAATCAATTCCCTATAGGACATTTTCACTTGGCTAAAAAGAGAAACCTTGACACGTTCTTCTTTTTATTTACAATTCCATTCCCAGACGGTAGAAAAAACAAATCAGATAACTGTACTTGATTTTGATCAAGTAAAGACTAGTTAAATTTAGTTTAGGGAAGAGATGCTGAACTACTATAATACAATTATCTCCTTAAGCAAGTAAATATATTGTCATGCCTCGCTGATAAAGCAACAATCACGCACCACATTTGTGACACCAGTGGCTTATGAGGAGCTAGTATAGAAATGTAATATCAAGAGTTGCAGACACAACTCCTCCATCTTTCCTTGGTATATCTTCAGCATTTCATTGTTTTAGAAATAGTTTTAAAGAGATAACGAGAAAACTATGTCCTAAGATTCATCAAAGATTTCTGTATCAACATTAGGAAAAGAGCCACACTAATCAATTCTCTACAAACCTAGTTAAGTCTACCTCGTGGTACATCTCTTCAGAATGAGTCTCCAGTGAAGGTAATTCAACTGTTGATAAACTTATCTTTGTTAATTAATTTCAAGGAGCAGCTTCCTCTCCCCCTAAATCACTCATCTTCATCCCTCTACACCTCTCACTAAATAATGTATCTCCAAATATAATACAGCCTATGCACAACAAGAAGAACAATTCTCTAGGTAGGATCACTGATTTCAGTATGAAATTTCAAATATTTTAGGAATCACAGGCCCACTGTCACCCTAGTTTATCAGGTAACTAATAAGAAACATCCAACCTGAGGATTTCCCAGATCATGAGTATTTTTCACAAGTAAAAGTTCTGCGTTGATGGCTTACGAAAATAGTTGATTGCCCTCATACAAACTGCATCCATTGTTTCTGAATTCATATGAATTCAAATGCTTCTTTGAACTTTCTTTAAGTTTCCTGGAGATAACATCAATAGCAATGTGAAAATAAGACTGCCATTTTAATGAGTGATTCAGAAACTAACCATTTACTAGCTGATTTGCAAAAACATGGACTTGGGTGCTGCAAACATAACAAATTCTGGTTCCATGTTTCTTAAGTAATCAAAGATCATGTGAAAGAATGAAACACTGTTTTGCAAACAGACTGCAAACAAGGTAGACAGTATTTCTATGGAAACATAGGACAAGTTTGCTGTGCTTAAATAATGTAAACAAAAGCCTGGGAATACTGATCATACAGCTAAAAGAGGATTTGGAAACTATTACCTACTTTTTATCACATCTGGCCTAATTATATCTCCTAACAGCCCTGGCATTCATAATCATTCATAAGTGGCTAAAGGCCTGTGGGTAATTTATATATTGCATATATTTATAAAAAACCTTTTTTCTCCAGTGAAGATACTTACTTCTCAGAGATGAATTTCAAATTACATAACCACAGGATGCAAGCACCTATCAGATAGTAGAGCGATCTATTTCAAAACAAGGAACACAGGCTGAGATCTTTTTTCTATATGCATGAATATTTGACAGCTATGTAGATGCAAATATCAAGAATAAAGCAGCTGTTACTGGGAACAGCGACTTACCAGTACTTGTAAGGAAGTTAACATTTCTCATCACACCTTCTGTGTAAGCCCCTGGCTCGTAACTGTCCATTTCACCTGTGACAATGTGAGCAACTCTTGCTGCCCGTCCTCTGATAGCACCTGCTGCTCGGTCTAAATTATCAGCATCCTGGTCTCTCAAGGCTATGATACATTTGTTGACATCTTCTAGGATGTGGCTCTCTGTAAGTAAACAGATCAAGTTAGATTTGTGTTGTTTTTTCTTTTTTTAAATCACACAAGTTTAGCGTATTATAATTTATGCTAACTTCTGATTGCAGATAAGGTATAATTGGAATGGAGGACATTGACAATTAAGAAGAAAAATATACAGACATGATTTTGCTTGTATCTCTCTAATGGCATAATGTGTGAAATATATATTTTATATCTTTATCAGCGATTTTATAGATTAAATCTTATTTTAGATTCTAGTTCCAGTAGATTCAATTTTAAATAAAATCTTGGGGAGGGTAATTAGGTTTATTTATTTTTTTATTTTTAATGGAGATCCTGGGGATTGAACCCAGGACCTCGTGCATGCCTAGTACACACTGTACCACTGATCTATACCCTCCCCTAGATTTGACTTTAGATTTGAGTGATTTACAGGTGTAAATTAAGGAAAAGACTCTAGATTAGAACAAAAATAAAATGTATAAAGATAGAATACTTAAAAGCAACACTATGCAGACTACGAAACTCTTAAAAAATACTACCTGTCCTAAATATACAGGAAAATAAAACTATGGAGTTCTATGCAAATAATGTACTATATTTAACACAATTACAGAAATCTATAAATTAGCAAAAGATAAAGAATATGAAATATATAATCTTCATATTGTAAAGCAGGACTCTCAGTATATCTGCAAAAAAACCCTTATATATAAAAAGGGCTTTAAAAAGATTGATTGACTTGAAGTAAACGAATCCCAGAGAAATTTGCTCACTCTGAAGAGTATCTCCAGACCTCTCTCTTTCCTTCTTTGTATGATTAGGGCATGAAGACAGCAGGGAGTTATTAGTAGAGCACAACAATGTTTTCTCTTTCCATAATGATTAATACTCTCAGGTAAATGTAGTGAGAGAAGCTGAGCAAATATCTGGAATATCAACAAGTATGGGCAATGATATTTCTCAGACATTTAAAGAATACTAAAAAAATGGTTTCTGAAATCCTCACCCAAAGTATTCTTAAAGACTCTATTCAAAATACACAAAGAAAACAACTACATCAAAAAGGCTTCAGTAATTCCAGAACATATTGTTAACTCTATGTCTCTGTCTCTGTCTCTGTCTCTCTCATTTGCTGACTATCTGTGGGCAAGCTACACAAGACAGGGATTCATAAAGCAATTTCCTTGCAGTCATACCTTCCTCTTACTGTCTAGAGCATAAGAATTTAAACTATCAAAGAATATGGTCCCTTGTGAACTTCTTAGACCTGATGTCCACCATTTTTCTGCAGGCCCCTGATGCTCCAGTTATATTTATTTTTTCATTTTCCAAATCTGCCATGTTTTTCCAAGTTTCTGTGCCAGTGGGCATATTAGAACCTTGACCTAGACTGCTCTTTTGAGTTTCTGGACCCAATTTCATCATGTTTGTGTGGAGTCTTCCCCATACCAAGAAACAATTCTCTGTACATCAGCTGGGTGTCCTACAATTCAACTCAGTTCTGACACTATCTACCTGGAGATAGCATCTGATTCCACATGTTAGGGGTTCAGTCCCACAAGACTGCTCCTTTCCATACAAATACTACAGATACTAGTGAAAAGCCTATGTTGTTACCTGTGCTTCTGACCAGCTGCTACAGATTGAAGGTTCCCATGACCCCTTCCTTGGACTTCAGATATCAGTCCAAGTTCAGGTTGTTACCTGTACTTCTGACCAACTGGCTATAAATCAGAGGTTCCCTCAACCTCCTTTTCAGGTTCAATTAATTTGCTAGAGCAGGTCACAGAACTCATAGGAACATTTTACTTACCAGAATTAACTTTTATAACTCAGGAAGAGCCAGGGAGAAGAGATGCACATGGCAAGGTATGGGGAAAGCATAGAGCTTCCATGCCCTCTCTAGGCGCACCATGCTTTCCAAATCTCCAAGTGTTCACCAGCCTAGAAGCTCTTCTATCCCTGACCCTTCTTTTTTCTTTTTTCTTTTTTTTATGGAGCCTCCATTACATAGGTATAACTGATCAAATCATTGGCCACTAGTGACTGATTCAGCCTCCAGCCCCTCTACCCTTCTCAGAGGTCAGGGGAAGGAACTCAAAGTTCTGAACTTCTAATCACATAGTTGGTGCCCTGTCAGTTAGCCCCCAGTCTTAGCCACCTGTGGGGTCCCAAAGTCATCTCATTAACATAACAAAGACAGCTTTATGGCCCTCATCACTTAGTGTATTCCAAGGATTTTAGGAGCTTTGAGTCAGAAACAGGAAAAGACTCACTATAAACTTATATAAACCCAGTATTACAATTGTCAATCCCCTCTGGTCTGCTTGCTCAATAACTATTCTTTCAAGACACCAGTTACATGTTCCTTCCTCAGGAAATCCATGATGACCCAGAAAAGATAAAGTTGGTTCCATGCTGTTCGAGATTCCTATAAAATGGTTTATATGGTTTCATTAGAGCGTCTCCCTGTATTTTAATGATGTACTAATGAAACTACTTCTCTAGTAGACTGGCAAATATATATGATGCAGGAGTTTTATCTTATTCTTTGAGGTGTCTAGTCCTTAGTACAGTACATGGCACCTGCTGGGTTAACAAGAATGTTTGTTGAATGACTAAATGAAGTCTTATAAGATACACTGGGAAACAGTACATTTATTTTGTCTAAATCCTAAATCATGGGTTTTGAACATAGGTAGACACATTCCTGTAGCCTTAAAGTTAGTTCATTTAACTCATATTAAGGACAACAAGTTCATTTGCATGAAAAAGATTAAGGAAAACCTTTGTTATAAATTTACTGGAGTTCTAATCTAATCCTTAGCATTCAATTATGAATGTGTCACTGAGGCCTGAAATATATCCAGGCACAGTCCCATCACAACAGAACACACATGTGTAGCATCACCATTGTATCTCCCCTGGAACTGACATACAAGTTTAAATGTGGAGGTCATAATAATGATCAGTTTTTAAAAAATCCACAGATAGACACACTAACGATACATTAAGAAGCTGTTACTTTCCAAGTATGTTGGTACTTTAAAAAAAACACAACATATATGTATTCAATGAATGTTTAATCTGTATTCACTAGAGGTGCTGAATTTTAGATTGCTGAGCTGTTTTTGCTCGGTTCTGTAACAGTGAAAAGATACTTAGGAAAGAAAAAACAATGTTCATTCTCGGAAGATTAATTATCTAATAAACTCAGTAATTTGTTTAATTAAAAGTGAAATCATAGATGCCACAAACTATTTTTTCCCCAGTGAATTCTGCACAGAAAAAAAATACAAAGAATATTCACTAACGATGAAATGTTCATTTCTATAAACCAATGACATATATGCTCACCAACCAATTTATCTTATTATTTTAAGCAGAGAATAAAATTATAGTAAGAATTTTTGTTTTAGAAGTTTGTGTGGTTATTGCTTTAGATTGAGCAACACAATTAGAAGCCATGGTGTTATGTTGAAGAATTATAGACATAAGGTCAAATATGGAAATAAAAACCTTAAGTGAACATACACAATATAAAAAACTAGTAAGTGAAATAAATGATGAGAAGCATATAACTAGACTTTATCTGAAGCAGCTATGCTGAGAATGTTGGAGATGATGACTAAATGATCTTTTGAATTACAATGATTAAATATAGCACAGAAACATTAGGGAAGGTTTGCAAGATTTCCATTATTGTGACACTTTCCCATTATGCTGAATGTTTTGCAAAATGCCAGCAACAATTATTTGCATGAAATTCTAAACATAGAGGGCCAGAAAAAGAAAATTAAAATGTTGGGCACCTCCCACATACAAAGTAACTAAATATTAAGCTAATTTCTTAAAAACAATTGTTTCTTTACTATTCATATTTCAAGTGAATTTTAGTAGTTAAAAAGACCCTCATGATAGCTTGAGTTTTTATGTCTGGCTGTATGACCCTAAACCTCAGGGAAAGAAAGAAAACACCATGTGTAAAGCTTTCTTTTTTTTTTTAAATCATCCTTTTAAAAAAGTTTATTGAAGTATATTGTGTAAAACTTTCTTCTGATGTATCTTTTAAGTCTTTGCTGATGGGCTGTTTACTTTTTAGACATACAAAAGTCATTAGGTGCATTACCGCCAATGTATTTTTTTCCTCAACTGCAGATGTACTTGGATTCAACAATTACATAATTTGTAAATGAGGTTTAAAAGAAAGAAAATACATTATTATAAACCAAGCACACTCAGAAAACATCTGACCCTTGAACATGCTGGGGTTACTTCATGTCCAACTTATACCTGGCCTTCCATAACCGCAGTTCCTCTGCAGACTCAACCAATCTCGGACAGTGGAGCACTGTAGTATTTACTACTGAAAAATATACTTTTTAAGTGGACCTGCGCAGTTCAAACCCATGTCATTCAAGGGTCAACTGTATTCTATGTTTTGAAAGATTGATTGAAGATTTGTCTTAGTAATTTCAGAGTGACAGCGTAACACTGGATTTGGGGTGAGGGGTGGAATGTCCTAGTGTTACTGCAAATCCTGAAATGCATTACTTTAAGAGCAGACAATTGCTGAACTACTAGCAACTTCTCTTTTTTTTAATTGAAGTGTAGTTGATTAACAATGTTGTGTTAGTTTCTGGTATACAGCATATTGATTCAGTTATGCATATATATACATATTCTTTATCATTATAGGCTTATTACAAGATATTAAATATAGTTCCCTGTGCTAAACAGTAGGACCTTGTTGTTTATCTATTTTGTATATAATAGTTTGTATCTGCAAATTCCAAACTCCTCATTTATCTCTCCCCATTTTCCCCCTGGCAACCATAAGTTGTTTAACAAAGCAACAGAAATAAAAGTAAAAATAAACAAATGGGACCTAATTAAACTTACAATCTTTTGCACAGCAAAGGAAGCCATAAACAAAATGAAAACACAATCTATGGAAAGGAGAAAATATTTGCAAATGATGTTACTGACAAGGGCTTAATTTC